GGTAGTAGCTCATCACTAGCTGCTATCATAGTCCTCGCAAGTGTTTCCCATTGGCTGGTAGCTGGACTGGTGCATCTACTGTCCCTGACCCTCAAGGCCCTAGGACGGACGTTGGAGGGATAGAGTGGTGACTGAAAGCCCAGTGGTCCCGGTCTGCTCCTCAGTCCTGCTGGCCGCCTACCTGTACTGCTCTGGCCAGCTAACTTGGCCTGGCTGAGCCTGAAGGCCCCGTCAGTTTCATGGGTGTGATTGCTGGAGTGGGATGAGAGAGACCGGCGTTGAGCGCCTGGCTACCATCTGCTGCCATGCAGAGCTGGGTGAGGGGTGAGGCCCCACCTCTGGTCTGGCAGAGGGTTCACGGAGCCGGCATGCATATTCGAACACCTTGACTGTGGTGTTTTGCTGGTCTTAACCTCACTTCCCCAGGGAGGAGAACAATAGGCTGGTCTGCAGGCTCTGCGTCCCTCACAAAAGCTTCCTGTGTTTCCTCAGCCTCATCCACATCTGATTGCACTTACTGCTCTAAAAATGTATCCATCCTGTTTGCCATGTTCGCATTTCAGAACATGGGGCAGCCGCGGGGGAAAAGGCCTTCATAAATACCATGCATTAAAAAAAAATGCCTTGCATCTACGTAATTCGGAGGATGCAGATGGGGAACAGCAAGGCAGACTCGCGGGGCCCGCAGGCCAGGAAAACCCCTCCAAAGCAGTGAGGAGGAAGATTTCCTTGTGAGGAAACCAGAAAATAACCATCTACCTAGGAAGATTCTCCTCCAAAGTTGGGAGGAATAGCGAAGAGAGGTCAAGGGTCATGACTCCTGGTTCTACCTGTAAATTTCCTGTGTACCTGAGAACGTGCCACTTGGCATCTTCGGGCTCTCTTACCCATCTGGGCATAATGGTTTCAGTCTCCATTGTGCCTGTGATTCTGGAAATAATGGAAAGGACTGAGGCAGAGGTACTTGTTCACATGCTTATGCCACGCGTGTTCTCGGTGCCTCGAACAGTGCCTGGTACTAGGAGATACCCTGCGGGTGTGTTTCACACAGATGAACAGCGCAAGGTCCGAACGATAAACCTTTGTCTAGCTATGATATGTTCATCACTACTGTGTCATCAGGCAAGTGGCCTCATCTTGGCTCCAGCTTCATGCAATAGAGATCCTGATCCCACCAGAGATGAGATGTTGGCAGATTCATAGAGGGTGCCGCACACAGAGTAGGTGCCTATCGAAATGGTAGCGTCATGAGATCACCCAGGATTATGCTTGCTGGCTTTGCAGAAGCTGTAGGAATTTCTCCCATTCCGTGCCTTCTTGCTCTCACCCACTCCCAATACGATGGCATCCGTCCCGAAGTCTCTCACCCAGCGGCCTTTCTGTGAGGATCAGACCAAAGAGAACCAACCAGGATGGGTTGGAGGAAGAGGTGAGACCCAGGTTAGAGCTCAGCAAAGACCGCACATGTTGAGTGGAGTTATGAAAAGAGGCGCCAACTTTTCCTAGAAAAATCTGTTGGCATACAGTACGTATTTTCGTCAGTGTGGACTAGCTCCTGTGTTGCCCCAGGAGGAGAGACATGGCACTGGGTGGCCTTTCACTGGAAGGCCTCTGCAGGCCACAGACAGCTTGAGGGCATTGTGATGAGGCCAGCGGGCTCAGTCAGCGGGCTGTGTGGCATCTGCCCGTGCGGACCCACGGACAGGTCTTTGAGGATAAGGACCTGCTGAAAGGCATCAGCACTGCCTGAGAGTCGGAAGAGAAGCCAGCCCGGTGTGTGGCCATACAAGAAGGAGATAAAGGACCCCCAGTGAGCCCCCACCAGGGCCAACACCCCCAAAGATGCATGAGCACTCAAGGAGATGCTTGCCTTGCCGGGGGCTGCTGGGCCCCACCAACAGGGAAGTGAAAAGTGAGCTTAAGCTGAGCTGAGCTGGGGCAAGTGAGCAGAAAGACAAAGCCTGCCCACTGGAATGAGGCATCCGTGGGTGTGAGGCCCAGGGAGAGCACCTCCGGGGTCTCCCACCCAGGTGTCCCTGTAGAGCATCACCCCTGCCAACCCACACCCCTGCCAGCCCGCGCTGCCCTGCCTCCTCTGCACCTTTCCACCCTGGTCCTGCTCATGCTCGTCCTTTCTCAGGGACTGACCGCCCGGGCCTCCTTGCAGGCCCTTTCTGAGGAGCCTTCCGCACAAAGGCCAGCACTCAGCCCTGGGCCCCACCTCAGCCCATTCTCCCTTCACGGTGTTACTCTGGGTTCTTTCCCCAGGATGATTTTGAGCACCAATAAAGGAGAGAATTGTCCTTCTTTGGTTCTCCTGGAGTACTGAGTTCAGTATCCAAGAGGTAATCCCTAAGTGCTTCTTCAGTAAATAGCTAGAAGGCTATAGCATGACCGCATATATAAAGATGCACTTGTTTGGTGGGTGGCTGGCTCAGCCCACCCTGGGGGCGGGGCTGGCACGGCATGTGGTGCTTGGGATTGAACTGCCGTCCCTGCACTTTGCCTACATTTGCTTAAGCAGGTGCTTTAGATCGCTGAGCTATCTCACCAGCCCCTAAGATTTACTTTCTTAATTATGTCTGAGTGGGTGTATACCTTAAGGTACATTGCTGAGAAATTCAGGTCTTCTCTCAGTCCAAGGTCAAGAAGCATGCTGGACTTAGGGGGAAGAACATTAGGACTGCGCCCCAGTCCTACCACTAATTTGTGTAGAATTGAGAATAAACCATGTAACCTTCCTCCACTTTGCCACTTGTATAGAAGGTCACTACGTAATCTTACAATGCCACGTGCATAAAAAAGAGCACATTTTAAAAATATATATTCTTGTTAAAAATGTATTTATTTATTTGATATAGGGTCTCACTACACAGCTCAGACTCATAGTGATCCTCCTGTCTCAGCCTCCCCAGCGCTGGGATCGCAGGCGTGTGCCACCATGCCTAGTTTTGGAGCCGGCACATTGCTCATAGAGAAATGCCAGAAAGAGAGGGGAGGGAGAAAGGGAGGGCGGGTGGGACCCAGAGCTTCCCTGGCACCCTGGCCAGGTGAGCAGCTGGGTGAGCCACAGCCAGGGCCTCCAGAACACAGCGGAGGACGACAGAGCACGGAGCCCGTTCTCCACTCCCAGGAGCTGCAGGGGCAGAGAAGTCCAGGGTGGGGGCGGGGAGGTCTGGTCTTGCAGACAGGGTGGGAGACCAGATTCCCCTGCTCCCCAGATACGGAAGGCTTTCCTCCTGCCACAGGTCGGCCCTCCCTCTGCCTCGCCTGCCCTGGGCCCTGGCTCTGCCACCCTCCACAGGTGCTGGCCCCGCCCCTACCACAGTCCCTCCTCTCCACTGCTTGGCACACTGTATCCTTCACAGAACCCAACACAGGTTGCTTGTGTTGGTTTTTCTGGACTGTCTTTTCCCAAGAAGATGTCAGTCTCGGGACTTCTCCAGTCCTGAAGTGTCACAAGGGCCTGCCACAGTGTGTGGCACCAGAAGGTACTGAGTAACTCAGTGGTCTGGCTGTGACCCCGAGGCTCTATTTCAACATAGAGTATGGTTGCTGGGTTAAAGCAGGGGGCAACAGCCCCCGTTACAGAGCCAAAGCGGGTCATGTGGTAAATGCTGAAGACAAGCCACATTCCACTGTGAGTCCCACCTCTCAAGTACTGAGCACCCCTAGCCCCAGGCAGACCCAGTCCCAAGCCCAGCCTGGTGTGGGCGCCCAGGCGTGGGCGCCAGGAGGCCCTGTCATGGAACCACAGCCAGCTACAGAGAACACGAGGGACAGCTTCAATGGGCGAAGGCTGCCATTTCCTTACTTAGCATACACGTGTCCTCTGAAGCAGCAGATTTAAATAAATAAGGCAAACTGTGAAGATCTGTGGTTAAAAATGGGAGGGGAGGAGTGGGAAGGAAGCATCTAACAGATGCTGGCTGGGCCTCCTGTGACAGGTGGGACAGAATCAGCAGCGGGCACCTCGCTCAAGGGCTGGCTCAGTGGAGCACTGATTGGCACCCTGCAGCATGTACCCCACGCCTGCGAACTGCAGAGTCGGCCCAGCCCAGAGGGACTCTGCCAAGAACACATCCCAAAGAGGCAGAGGAGAGGAGACCGTGCACGGCTGGCTATGCGGGGAGAAGCAAGCGCAGCACAGAGAGAGGTGCTAGCTAGTCCTCCACGCAGGTCAGTCGAGCATCCCACACCACCTGCCTACCACTCTGTGCCCAGCCCACATCTACACCCAACCTACAGCTCACCGGATCTGGTGGCCAGGACCACACACTGCCCCTGGGGAAACCTCGCTTGGTCCACCCCTTGGTTCATATAGGAGAATCTCTGCTCCCCACCCAACAGTGATGCAGTTCGGGGCAAGGGCTGGAGTTGTTCTCTAGCATGCCACGGCCCATCGCAGGCTGTCCGTGTCTGAAGTGGTTCCGTTGGCCAGGCCCAGCATCGATCCAGCACCCCTCCCAGGATGCTCTTTAGCTGAGGGGCAGGCTCTGTGGGCGGGGCCATCTGTCTAGCGGTTCACCTCTCTGCAGTTCCTACTGCTGGGTGCAGGCTGGGCCTTGATGCCGAGCACCAGGACTGGAATCGCGCTCTGGAGACTACCTGCCACTCCCCGCAGTCTCTGCTCAGGCACTGCGTTGACCCTTCCAGGGCAGAATCCTTAAGTCCTTTCCGTGCTCCCTCCTCCTGTGATGCATGAGGAAGCGGAGCAGAGGAGGAGCAAGCACCCGTTCAGGTCCCAGAGTCAACAGTCGTGAGCCAGGATCCACCCCATCCCGCCACCCCACTGCAAACTGTCCTGCCCAGCGTCAGTGCTGCACGGCCCACCCAACATACCTGTCCCCCAGTGTCCCAGGCATCAGGATGAGTAGAGGCTGCATGTGACAGGGGCCTCTAGACAGGCACCCCAGCTTCTAACAGGTCACCTGGAGTTGTTCGTGGCAGAGGAGGCCTTCCTGGGCTACTGGAAGGATTAAATACGCTAATAGGTTAAAAAAAAAAAAAAAAAAAAAAAGGCTTAGAACACCGCCTGGCACTGGAAGAATTCAAAAAACGCGCCCCCTTTGCATGGCTAGTAATGATTGTTCCAGCTGGAACATTCCAGATCTTTCTGCCTGACCCACTTTCCTCTCTAACCTTTGCTCTCTTTTTAATTTATTCTACAACCTACTCTTCCACCTTCTCCTTTTCTCGCCTCCCAAACCCAAGGCGCCATTGAATCTGTTTAATTCAGATCTCTGAGTGTGACAGCACCCTAGGGGGTGGGGGGTGGGCCTGGAGGGCCTGCAGCGAGGAGCAGAAGTAAATGTGCATGTGCTCCCCTCTTTAAATCGCAGATTCAGTCCCATCACAGGGCAATTTCTGATTCGTCTTCTCTTGATTCAATGGAAAGATGTTTTATTCATGGGCGTCTCCGCTGCGGCTCTGGCTCTGTGTGTGTGAGTGAATCTGTGCGTTTGGTCGGGCCTGCCAGGTGCAGATGCCACGCTGCCATCTTCGAGACCTAGTGCCTGGCAAATAATAAGCGCTTGGGTCTGGCTGGCACAGGCAGTGCACTCTGCTGCCGCCCTCCTGATGGACACATGGTGTCACATCCCCAACTCCTTCACTGTGGCTCACGGTGATCCCCTTTATTTCCGGCCTAGGGAGCGGATCTCAGCACTAACTCCCGCAGGTCTCTGGACTGAAAGGCAGACTTACTGCCACATGCCACGTGTCACGTGCCATGTGCCGTGGTTGGGTGGGCAGGCTGACGTGGTCCCACCGTTTGCTGGGTGACTCTTCGCCCTCTCTGAGCCTGGCATCCTCCCTCGCTGGCAGAGCAGAAGGAAAAAGGAATCTTGAGGGGGAGAGCGGAGGAGAGAGAAGAAGGGAAGCGTGCCTGCTCTCAGCATCTGGCTGCCGGGAGGGCCAGGGTGGTGGGCGGAGGGCGGAAGAGGGGGGAGCCATTTACCGGCACAGTCAACAAACAAGGACCCGCCCGGAGCACAAAGCCAGGCATTGTGCTAAATGCTGAGGGAGTCAAAGAGAATTTATATTTATAATTTATGCCCCACCTACTTCCAAAGAGAATTCTGCAGGTGACTCACAATGAAAACCGCATAAGCAGCAAAATCACTAAATTAGCAAAAGAGAACCAAATCCGTGGAAATGAATAAAGGAAACCAGCTTTCTTCTTGCCATGGGCAGAGTGGCCGAAGAGACAATGTCCTTCAGTCCAACAGGCCCACTGGACAGACACAAGGGCGACAGCAGACACTGGGCCTCGGCCTTTGAAATTCCCTGTAAAGCCATAAGAGATAAAGAAGATTCCGATTAAAGAAAAATGTTTTAATATATGACATTAATGTCATATCTTTATACTAACACAATTGTAAATATGTTTAGGGTGAAAGGGGCCCATAGGTGTCAAAGTGCTTGGGGACCCCAAAAGTTGTGACACAACCCTGTTGGTCACACCCTCTGAAGCCCCCATTCCCCAACCTGGTGCAGGAGGGTTTGCTGTCAGCTCCACAGCTAACAAGGGCTGTGAAGAGGTGAGGAATTCTATTTCACACTAAGGATGTGGAGAAGAGCGCCCTTACGCTCTCCAGTGTGATTATGGAGAAATGTGGCTTTAATTTTTTCTTTGTAACCAACCTATCCTTTCTTATCAGATCCACTGGGTGTGGGGAGCCTCTACATTTTATCCAACTTGGTAAATTTCCAGTCTGAATTACTGATGAAAACTATATCTCTAGGTAACCTGGACAACTCCAGCAAGGCTCGCCTTTTGAGGCCACCTTCTCTGTCTCCTGTACACTGCAGAGCAGGCGCTTCCGACCAAGTCCGCACAGCAGCCCACGGAGATGTCCCCAGGGTCCCATCGCGCCCCGGTGCTTCTTGCCCTCTGTTGCAAGGGGCAGAGCCAGCCTGCTGCCTGTACCCGTGTCTCTGTGGTGGGTAGTTGGGTCACTGGTGCCTCTGGTGACCAGCTGTCCTGCTGCCAGGTCCCTGCCACCCTGCTGGCTCTCCTGGGAGCAGCTTGGGTGCTTGTCCCAGCTGCCCTGCCTGCCGCTTCCTGCCCAGCTGCACACCACATGCTGGACAGGGACCCCACTGTCGCCTTCAAACATCTGGATGCTTCAGACATTGCCAGGGTGTGCTGATACATGGAAGGAAAGACGGTGGAGGCAATAATGGCAGTGACAGCCGCCAGCTCTAGGGCTGACCACCTGCCTGCCTCCCTCTCCTCGAGTCCAGGAGGGTGGAAGGGGCAAGCTTTCCCGCGGGCAGGTCCGCCTAGCATCGAGGCTAGCTTTTGACATGTTAAATGAGTGTCAAAGGGATCTGGAAATCCCTTTCTTCTTATCAAGGACTAGCTTCTCAACTGAGAATCAAACATTGCTTTCGCACAAGAAAGCCTGGAACAAAATCTACAAGATAGAAAAACTTATTTTTTAAAATTCCAAAAAGTATAATCCCATTGCAGAAACATGTTTATTCAGCTGGGGAGACCAGGTATGCTGATACAAAATTCCAAAAGAAATGTGCTCTGTGGGTCCTTACAGAGAAAACATGGAGCACTTACTTTCCAAACCTTCCCCCTTCCAGTAGCTGTTTGTTATACCAACCCAGGAAAAGAATGCTGGGCATTTATCAGGTGAGGCAGGTGGACCAAAGGAGTCCAACTGTGCCACATGAGGGTGGGGGGGGTTCTTGTACCCGACGTAGCTGAGACACCCGGAGAGCACAGTGTGTGTAGCACACACCACCTCTGCAGGAAGGGCTGGGGTGTGGCTCCTCCCATCTCTCCCACCCAAAGGTCGAAAAGTATTTCAAAACAAGGACATGGAACTGCCCGCCTATCAGCCATCATAGTTCTTTGGAAGATTAGTCATGCCTCAAGACATAAGCAGAAACAGTGTGGACATTCGGGGAAAGGACTGTTTGGAAAGGAAATGATTCAACAAGCACGAAATGTTGGAGGAGAAGATCGAAGCCTCCAAGATCTTCTAGATTTGGGCTGCAGAGACGCAGCGATCGATCAAAGGTCAGAGAACAAATTACGATTCTCACCCTAGCCCAGGAAAAGATTCTAAAAGCTATGAGTAGCCACCTCAGCCAGTAGAAGGCTCAGGAGAGGAATTAAGAGATTTGCACTGGAAGGGACTCTCTCGCCCCATCTCCTGCCTTAGGAATGGAAAGCAAGACAGGAAGGGTCACTACTATGTTGAAGGCCCTGCCCATTTCAGTAAAGAAAGAAAATAGTGTAATTAAAGGGTGACGACTGAGAAAAAGAAACAGAACTTTAAATATGTATGGGTAATATTACCATATGAATAGAATAATAGAATAGAATAATACCCATCGAAGAGTCAATGGGTATTATTTATTAGCCCAAGTAAGGGAGATAAGCAAAGTTCTGGGTATGAAATTAATATACAGGGGCTGGCAGGATAGCTCAGTGGGCTAAAGCACCTGCTTAGGCAAGCTTAGGCAAGCTTAGGCAAGCGCAAGGACCGCGGTTCGATCCCCAGCACTACAAGCCTGCCAGCCCCACCCCCAGGGCAGGCTGAGCCAACCTCAGAGTCCGGGCATAGTGGCACACGCCTGTAATCCCAACGCTGGGGAGATTAAAAACAAGAGGATCGCTATGAGTCTGAGCTGCACAGTGAGGAGGATTAAAAGTGGCGCGTCTTTTACTATAATAAATGCTTCAGATGCAAGCACTCGCCTTGCATTTTGTTCCCGTCACATAGACTCAAAGCATCCCAATGTGAACACAGCCTAGAGTGTCCTGATTGGCTTCGTGGAGAGGACAGGGCGCTCTGCATTGTCACTGTCCCATCACATCCCTGTCTGATCAGCCTCAGGCCCTGCATGGTCTCCACAGGCTCCAGGGCCCTGGTTTTCTTTGTGTTTTCCGCACACAGTACCCCCAGAGCTGTGGGGCCAGCAGGCCTGCAGCTCGTCTTTGCTGGGGGCCACAGCGCAATGGATGGCACAAGGGCGGCCGTGTGTGTCCCAGCTGGCCTTGCTATGCCCTCTCAGCCCTTGTCGTGGAGGGTGAGCATTCAGATGACGCTGTACAGGCAAACACTGTCCTTCCTCGCTCTTTCCCTTCCCTCTTCCTGCTTTTCTTTCTCTTTTTCTTCTTCCTCCCTCTCTGTCTCCCTTTTTCCAGTTTCCCCCTCTTCCGTGTCTCTTTCCCCCTTGCCTCCCTCTGTCCCTGTCCTTGCCCTGCTCTTTCTCAATTCCTCCTCCTGTACTCGGCAGTCTTCCGATCTGCTATTTCTCTTACGCTCAGTCAGATGACTCAGTGGGAAAGAAATTGAATCAGTTCAGCTGCCCTCCCCTTCACTACCCAAGACAGCAGCTCCACCAGACGGGTTTTCTGGAGGCCACGCTCCCCTGGGACCTCCACCCTCCACCCTGCTTCCCTCTGGCTCAGAGACCCCGCTGAGCCAGAAGCCAGCTGGGGGCCAGAAGCCAGCTCCACTAAGTGACATGAGGGCCCCTAGGCTGCCCCAAGAGCCCTTTTCAAAGCTGCAGCAAGGGAAGGGCCTTTTTGACATCTAAATTTATCCATCCTTCACTGCCTGAGCAGATGCCACCCCCTCACGCCTTCCCGGACCCCACAATAGAAGCACAGATTTTTGGCTGCCCTTCTTTTCACCCCAAAGAAGGGCTGCTTTTGCTTTTGCAGGAAGGGGCATTAGAAGATTGTGGCCTGCCAGGAATGCGTAGAGGTTTTTTCTCCAAAGTCTGGGCTGATTTGACCTGACTGGCAAGATAGAGACTGCGGGAGGAGAGGCCAGAGGAGAAAGGGGCCCTAGCTGCGGGAGAGAGAGGCTAGAGACGAGGGGGACAGAAGGACAAGGCCAGAACATGTTCCAGAATTTTAGACCCAGAAAGGAAGGAGGGAAATCCTGTAGAATCCAACACATACAACACGCATTTGGCAGAGGAAGAATCCAAGGCCTCAGCGTCGCAGAGCGACTTGCTTCTGCTCTAAGTTCGTCACTGGCAGAGTCAGGATCAGCAGGCAGGTCTGGATCCATCCCAGCCCCGCCCTGCCTGCCACCCTATTCAAGGCGAAGAAAGTTGACAGTCTTGGCAGCAAAATGAAACTTTCTGATGTACAAGGAATTCAGAGATATCTCCCAGTTGACAGCATTTGGAAAACCATGCAAGCCCACGCTTTCGTGGGGGCTGCGTTTAATGAGCATGTGAGTTATTCATGTTTCATTAAGGATGATGTGCACTGACTCTACATCAGTGAAAAGCAGGTCCCCACCTGGAGCCCAGGTCGCCTGGTCAGCAGGAGCAGGACAGCCAGGGAGTGCAGAGGCCAGGGCAGGAGGGCCACACCTCCAAGCACCTCCCAGCCAGGTCATTGTCGTGTGTGGTTCTCACAGGGTCTCACACACAAAGCTAGATGCTATTGTTCCCGTGTCACAGATGAAAAAACTGAGGCTCAGGGAGAGCAAGTCGCACATCTCAGGTGGCCCAGCTGGTGAGGGACCCGGCCCACTCAGGCTCAGGGTCAGCGGGGGGGTTCATGCAGGAGGGGAAGCACAGCCTGCAGGGCCTGGGTTCCAAGGTGCAGATGAGGCTCAAAGTGGGACCCCAGCCGCAGATGCTGCCTCCAGGCGAGGGCTGTGAAGGCGGAGGAGCTCTGGACCTAGCTGCGGGAAGCCCACGCCTTGGTGGTGAGCCAGGCCCAGCTGGAGAGCTGGCTGAACCTACAGTCTGGGGAGCAGTCGGCCTGTATAGTGCCGGGCAGCCTCCGTGTTCTTCCACCTTCCTGTCCTAGGTCCCTACCTCAGATGAGGTATGACATGAGCCTTAAGCCGGCCAGACCTGGTCTGATTTCGGAGGCCACCAGTTATCATCAGACATCAGAAAAAGCGCCTCAGGTTTACTGGGCCTGTTTGCAAGGTTCAGAGGTACTAAGGAAACCTACTTCTCGGCAAATTCAGTAATAACGACTAACATAGCGACTGCATGCATTTGCCACCCATTCTGCAGAGCCGCTCACTTACACTGCCTCCTCCTAAATGCCACAGATATCCTTTCCATTTTACTACAGGAAACAGAAGCTCAGAGAAGTCATTTGCTTGCCTAGGGCACACAGTGAGCGGCTGGCAGGGTCAGAATCTGAACCCAGGTCAGCGCGCCTCCCCAGCCCACTAACACAAGTCGGCAGCAGCATGCCCAGCTTGTGGCTGACTCCCAGCAAAGCGAGTGCTGATCTCATCTGTGTCCCCAAGACCCCAGGCTCTTGCGGTGTGTCTGGGATGGGCTTTGGGACTCCCTAGCAGTCTCTGCCATCAGGGGAAGCTGGCGCAGGGGCCCGCCCGGCCCAGCTGCCTCTTCCTCCCCCGCCTTGTTTCCTTCTGGGGCTGCCAACACTGCTCAGCTCCAGACCTCTTGTGGAGCTGGAAACAATGCAAGTTTATTTTGGCAGACAGAGCCATGCTGAATCCCTCCCCTGGATGCCCCATGGGAAGAGGACAAGAGTGTGGCTAGCGCTGTCAGTCCCTGTCACTCTCTCAGGCATGACTGTGGCACAGTCCCAGTCATCCATGTGACACTAAGGTGGAAGTAAGAGCTCACTTCCCACTGCAAACGGTCACGAGCTAGACCCCTCCTCTCCTCATACTCCCTCCAAAGAGAAGTCACACCCAGGTTGTGCCTGCAGTCAACCCTCACAGCCCAGGGTGGAGGCAAATGAATGTAATCCCAGTTACTGGGGAGGCTGAGACAGGAGGACTGCAAATGCCAGCCAGACTGCCTCAAAATTTAAAAAAAAGGGGGGGGGTTGGGATGTAGCTCAATGGTAGAGTGGCTTTGGGCCCCCAATACCACAAAAAGGAAGGAAGGAAAGAAATTTCTTATGAGTCCCAGCCCTTATATTTTTTATGTTAAAGGAAGAAATAGAGAACAAGGGATACTTTGGGAGCTCAAGAAACAATACCTGAGGCATGGTGCATTGGTTTTCCAAGCTCTCTGAGCTCCAGGGAACTGAGTCTCTGACCCCTGCCCCATCTCTTACGTCCCGTTACCTCCCACAGCACAGAGAGGGGTTTTCCTGAGCACCCTTTATCTGTCTGCCCACAGGATGTTGTCCGCAGGCACAGTGGTCAGAGCCCCTTTCCCTGGTATCTCAGTGGACACACAGGCAAAGGGGACCAAAGGGTGGGCCCGTCCAGAGACTCCCCACAAGCAGCCTTCCACTGGGATAAAGGCCTATTTTATTCCACAGACAGGGTGCCCTCCACGCCTTCCCATGACCCCCTGCTGCCACCGCCCACCCGCAGGATCCCAAGCCCTGTTCTCTTTACAGCCAGAATACTCTTCAGGCTTCACCCATCTGGCCTCCCTGAGTCACAACGTGTGTGACTCCTGTGCCCACCCGCAACCAGCTTGGTGCCATTTCTCCTGTTCAGCCATCTGCTGTCAGTTTATTTCAACAGACTCAATTATGGAACCTTCAGATAATGGGAGGGACGTTCCCTTTACCCCTACATCAGAAAGAAAAGTCTCGGCCCATCTTACCCATGCACCTGTAATCTTTGTGTCCTGCATAATTCTGTGTAACCAGCGGTTCCACCCCCTGAAAGTAAAGCTGTGACACTGTGGAGGGCAGATGGCAGGCACACCCCTCCAGGACAGACTAGTGAGCAGGCAAGGTGTGGGGCGCCCAGCACCGTGGGCCCTGAGCTTGGGTAACGGCCCATGCCTTGGCAGGGTCATTCCCGCTGGACTGCGGGGGCTTTCAGGGAACCGTGTGCACACCCCGGAAGAAGAGGCTCTCAAGCCAGCATTTGCACGGCTTCCTGGGGCCTCCTGGGCGCGTGGCCCCACTGGCCTCCCGCCCAGGTGCAGGCAGGGGGACCTGCAGCACACCTGTCCCACGCCCTCCTTGCCTGTGGAAGCTGCTGTGCTCCTGCCACCTCACCAACCCTCCCGGCCTGGCTCTGGCCTAGAGATCAATCTGAGGCTGCCAGGCAGCAGGAGCCTAGGACCTCATGACAGCAAGGCAGGGGCGGAATTGAGACACACCAGGTTGGGCTCCAGCTCCAAGCCCTGCCTTCTTTCCCAGCAGCTTCTCTGCTTCAGAGAGTGCAAGGTGGGGAGGGAAGGCAGCGCTGGCTCACCAGGGGCCTCAACTGCAAGAGGCTGATGCCTGGGGGTGGGTGGATGATTCCATCAGGTGACCCAGCATCGAGACCTCCTCTCCCTTCGATCTGTCCTGGGGCAGAAGGACCCTCCAGCCGGTGACACAGCCAGCTGCCCAGCCATCCACTGCCCCTGCCGAGTCCCAGCCCTTTGGCAGAGAAGAACAAATCTCTGCAGTTCCCGCCCAGGGCAAAGCTGAAACACTTATGGTTCCTATTTAAAGCGTGTCTCATTCATCATTTCAGCACCCAGCAACAATTAAACCTGACTCAGTCGAGCCCTGACAACACAATCGGCCTGTCGCTGGCTATTTAAATCCCCATCCTGATCTCCTGGGCATCTGAACCAGGACTGTTTGTCCTGCCAAAAGCAGAGCCCCACCCTCCTGGTCCCAAGAATGGAAGAGGGCTGCAGGGTGCAGGGTCTGCTCTAGAGTCCCTGGGCTGTCTTCACCCAGTTCCTTGGGGACCTGGGAAAGATCAGGATGGCAGGAGGTGGGGCCTGCGGGAAGCACATAAAAGGCCCAAATGTGCTAGGACATCAAGCCAGCCCTATGCACACACTAACAGGCGTGGCCTCATGGGGAGGGGCGCAGCACCAGATCCCAGGGTGAGCTCTGCCTGTGCCATCCACAGGTCACTGCTATGACATTTCTCTACCTCCTTTTCCTCTCTAGTATGTTAAAAAAAAACAAAAACAAAAACAAAAAACTCCTCATGTGTCTGTAATTAAGAGACCCAGAAATCTGGTGACCCAATAAAAGCTTTAGGAAAACCACCAAGGTCCAAAGTATGGGAGTCAGGGATAGAGCGAGCTGCCACTTGTGCTGGGGCCTGGGATAGCGCCTGCTTTGACAGTGACGCCCGTGGGGCTGACAGCACTAGAGCTGTCGTGTGCAGCACTGTATGGTGAGTGCGGGCCATGACCCCGCCAGGCTGGGCTGCTCAGCAGGTCTTGGGCCTCAGCCAAGCTTCAAAGGCCACGCAAGGCCCAGAAGAGCCACGCAGGGAAGGAAGCCCAAGCCGGCAGAGCTGCTCCGAGCTGGCAGCGACCTCCCACGTCCATGCGGCTCCCGGAGATTCTCGAGGGTCTCGGCGGTGGGTAGGAGGCTGTGCTGCATCAGGGCCCAGGCAGCAACCGGTCCTGTCGCCGGGGCCTGGGGGGGCCTCTGCGTGACCCGGCAGGTGTGTTGGGCTGAGCAAGGTGTCGCCATCATCCCTGGATGTGCTTCTCAAGCTTCTGTGGTGAAAGACCGAGTGTTAAAATACCTACTTGGCCATGGGTCAATGCTTTTATAAAATACAGCAAAAGTGAATTTCTAAAAAAACACTGATCCCATATTTGGATAGTGTGGCAACGTCCAATTGCTTAAAAAACTCCTAGGTGTTTCCTCCAAAGTCCTGAGCATCTCTCAGAGGAACAAGCACATTACACGGGGCCACACCACTCCAGGCCTCGGGGGGGGACAGAGGAGGGCACAGGCCAATGCAGACCAACGTCCTTCCTCCCCATCTATTTGGAAGGTCCCAGCCTCACCCCAGGACTCCCTGGTCATCTAAGGCCATGTGCCTTAGGGGACAGTCCTGATTCATCCACGTTGGTCACGCGGCCAGGAGTTCTGATCTTCCTTTTAGTGGCTGCCATTCAGCTGATGCCCTCCTAGAGGAAAGCTGAGCGTGAATCTGTGTGCTGCGCAGGGCACTAAGGAGGCCTGCGTGGGCCTAGGCACAGGGCCTCCAAGTGGGTCACAAAGCAGACACTTCCGCTCTTAGAGTCGTGTGTGTGTGTGTGTGTGTGTGTGTGTGTGTGTGTGTGTACAGGGTCTCTCCACATAGCTCTGACTCATAGTGATCCTCCTGTTTTCAGCATCCTTAGTGCTGGGATTACAGGTGTGCGCCACCACGCCCAGGTTCTAGAGTCTCTTGATTTGTCTCAAATGCACCAGGGCCTGAGTTCTTTGGCCACAGCTGTTTCTCCCAGCAATTCTGCAAGGGAAGGACTCATTCATCCAGGTTGAGATGGCTCAGGCCAGTGAAATAGTTCAGCAGACTAAGAGCCTGCTTAGGCAAGTGCAGGGACTGGGGTTCCATTCCCGGCACCGCTTGCTGTGCTGGCCCTGGCCCCAGGGCACTCTGAGCCTGCCACGGACACCGGGTGTGGTGGCATGCACCTGCAATCCCAGCACTGGGGCCACTGAAAACAGGAGGATCACTAGGAGTCTGAGCTGCGTAGTGAGACCCTGTACCAAATACATAAAAAAAAACCTTAAACAGCTCAACTCTGTAAGTTCCTAGAAGGAACTACAAGGGGCGATTCGAAGATGCAGCGAATGTTTAAATCTTAAAATTTACAGCACAAGACACAGCGCCTTGTATCACTCTCAAAATACTCCCTGCCCTTTGGACACAGCAGCCCCATCGTTCTTGCCACTTTCTGAAGCAGTTCTTGGAGTCCGCCTCTGTGTCTTAGAAAGGCAGCGAGCACTGCTGTCCAGTGGAAAGGGGGCGTGCAGACCCATCACTGCGTGCTCGGCTACTTCACATGCCGGGCTGAGCACACAGAGACCTCGGGCTCCTCCCCAGTCAGAAGGACCCTGAAAGTAAACATTTCCAACCAATGCAGGGGATAGAGGCAGCCGCGACAGTGCAGGAAAGGCCTCAAGAGGACTCCAGAAAGTGGCAAAGATGGGAGAACTGTGCTTAAAGTGAGCGTGGTACTTTGAGGGAGATTCATGAAAACGTGACTTTTACTGTAACAATTTTTTTAATTCAGACATTCACCATAATTTTCAAGGTCTTTAGACCAGCGCATCCCAAATGCTGGCTCAAATGCTGGCAATTTCAGAATACCCTGAGAAGCTTTTCAAAAATGCAGATGCCCCATACCCACACTCTAGAGTTGAGCTCCAGAAGCCCGGGCCTTACTCAGCTTTTTCAAGGGATTCCAAAGCTCCCCTTGCTTGGGGGCCAATATCTGCAGGGTTGTGAAGGCCTGGGGATGTACAGGCCAAGGGGGTGCCCAGGGAGCCCTAGGGCAGATCATCCTGGGAAGGGTCCTAGGAGAGCCCTTACGTAACCTAAGATATAGCCACCTTGTGGAATATTACACAGCCCCTAAAAGTGGAACACTTTTAATAACATGGGAACATTTTCATTCCAAGAGAAAAGGAAAGTAATAAAATTGTATATATTGCTTAACCTCAACTATCTAACAAAAATGAAAACATACCCTTTCTTTAAAAGACTGGAAGGAAAAACACAAAATGTTTTGTCAGTTGTCTCCTGAATGAGGATTGTGTGTGATTTTAATTTACTCATTGTATTTTCCTACACAGAGCCTGTTTTACCTTTATAAATAGAAAAGAATTAAGCCTTGTTTGTTTTTTTGTGGTTTTTTTTTTTTTTTTTTTCTTGTACGAGGAATCACACTCAGGACCCTGCCCTTGCCAGGCAAGCGCTGCGCCTATGAGCTATCTCCCGGGGCCCTAAGCCCTTTCTTTGAGAGAGAAAAGGCTCCCATCCTCTGTCATCCAATCTGCGTGAGTCAGTGTTGCCACTCAGGGCAGGCAGACATTGCTGGGGTTTTGTTTTTTGCTGTACTTGCAAGGCAGAAAATAACCATTTCCCAATGGGCTTCTGCAAAGCAGGAGGCCCAGGCCAGTTCGGGCAGGGCTGAGAAGGTAGAGGACATGGGCCTGCTGGGCTCTCTAGGCTGGCTTTTGCTGGCTCTGCAATCTCTACCCCACCTGCTCAGAGTGGTTCCGGGCGAGCCCCAGTGTCCTTCCCCCTGGGCCCCTTTCCCCTGCTCCGTCATGTACCTAGTGTCCTCAGGGGATTGTCGTAGGTGCCCCTGTCCTGAAAGGCCTTCCCCAGCCGCCCACCCAGCCTCCTTTGGGTCCCAGAGCACGCTGTGCACCCCTTTGGAATACTGTGTCACATTCCACTGTAGTCACAGCCTCTTTTCTGCTTCCCTGCCACCTACCAGCTCCTACCAACTCAGGGCATCAGCACACAGCAGACACCCAGTAAATGCTCACCAGTGGCTGAAGGAACCACGCCTTGAGGGCCAGCTGGCCGGAGGTCGCCCCAGGAAGCTCCAGCACTGCCTCTCCCAGACCCCTGTAGAGGCAAGCAGCCAGCAGTAGGCTTGGAAGGCCTTCTAAGCCCTCGGGACACTGGGGGGTGGCGGCATCCTGTCCCCGCCCTAACACGCCCCACTGCCGATCCCTGGAGATGGAGAGACTGCGTCCTCCGACCTCTGGCAACCATGTGTCCTAGTCTTCCAAGGACGACTCAGATTTAAAATATTCCCTTTCCACATCTGCCCACAGTACGTCGGTGGCTGCCTGGAAGCCTCTTGTCATGGGTGGAGGGTGGCTGATAGCTCATCCTCCTCAGTGGGGCGGCACGAAGGATGAGGAAGGTTCCATGAAAGAGTGGCCTATGGACAACAAGGCCGCCACCAAGGACAGCGGTGGCCTGGTCAGGCCGTGGATCACTGGGAGGCTGCCCCGGCAGTGGGGTCAGCTGTGCTCTGGCCACAGAACAGGGAGGCCGCACCCTTCTCCATCCCAGCCCAGCTCTGCCTCACACGGCCCGTGAGCTTGGGCAAGACACCCACTGGCCTCAGTCTCCTGCCTGCGCCTCAGGGCAGGGGGGACCCAGGCAGGTCAGAGCTGGCCCAGGGCCTCCCTGGACACAGACCTTTGTGAAGCCGACTGAGGGACCCGCCTCTCCTCCGCCACACCCTCTGCCTCCCAAGGTCGGCTTACTGTCCCAGGTCTCCAGGGTTCCTGGCCAGCCATCCATCCCTGCACGCACACACACACACACACACACACACACACCACAAAGCTAGAGTCTCTGATGACCTTGGAGCTGGCATACCATTCCTGGGCAACCTACTGCCACCCGTTTCTCATCGGAGAGGACACTTGGCTTCTACCTTATTTGAGCCACTATTATTTGGGGTGTCCTGGCATGTTAGCCAAACACTATCTTAAGTAAGAAAAAAGAAATCTTTGAAAAGAAATACAAGTAAACCCCGACAATCCACGAGGGAAAAGAGACAAGTAAATGAAAATAATTCCACAGGATGATGACAGTATTCCTGTGTCATCATTGTCAGGGGCCATTGAT